AGTCTCCACTATCATTATTTCCGTTTAAGTTATTGGTTGAAATGAGTCACTCCCCGTGCAATCAGCATGGGTCTGGGATTAAATATTAGTGTCTTTAATTTATATGCTGGGCTTCAGTGGTCATTAGTCATAGTTGCAAGTGGCCCTTTTGCCTCCTGTGGTGGCTGACATGCTTAGCATTTCTATGACGCGTGTTCTCATGTGGATACACGTGTGCAGAATGACTGTAATGACATGGAGGACCCCTGCAGCCCGGGCTCTGAGTCCTCGTGGTCCTAACGGGACGAGGAACAGGACAAGGTGGGACCTAGTGAAGGTCAGAGGTCTGCTTCCCGCAGGAGGATGAGGACAACTGGCCTGTGCCCGGGGCTCCCCATGGTTTCCCAGGAGACAAGGATCCAGTCCGCTTGGTCCACAGGCCCAGCTGGTGGGCTTCTGAGCAGACCAGTGACTACTGCCATCTCACTGTCACCTCACACTGAGGCCAGGATTGTCTGAGCTGCCTTCCCTGGGGCTTGGCTGGCATCATCTGAGGCCACCAGGGGGCAGTGTTGCCTGCATTTGGGAAAGTGCTCCCTGGGGTTCAGCCCTGACCTACAGGAAGTCTCCTGGGTGCTAAGAAGGACTTTCTCCTGAGCGTGTGGGGGGTGGAGGGGGATGTACTGTGTCCGTTCCATCCCAATGTTTCCCCTCCTGGGAGAGGCAGCAAATGTCCCGGGGCCTCAGATGCTGTGGAGATTGGGACAAGGACAGGAGAGGACTCATTTCAACTGAGGAGCCTCAGGGAAGGTGGAGAAAGACTGGGAGATACCGGCTTTGCCCGCGGTTCTTGGGCAACAGAGGAACTGGAGTTCTAAAAGCCAACCTAGAGCCTGTCCTCCCTCCTCCCAGTGTCTCTGAGGGGAGTCCCCGTATTCCTCAGCCAGGAAACCTGTAGATGGCCAAGGAGGAGGGACAGGACCTCCAAGGTGGCCTCCAGTCCCTAGGCACTTGACTGTGGTCTCAGGGGGCCCCCGTTGAGAAAAAAAACTGTCCAATATAATCTCTCAGGTTCGCTCTGAGTCTGATGAGCAGAAGCATCTAGATCAAGGGTCAGCTCAGAGGAGGGAGAAGACAGGCAGGTGCAGGAAGTGGATTTGCATGGACGCCCCTCCCCCCCATGAGGCAGGGGGAGGGGATAAGAGAGGTCTGGGGGAGCCAGGCTCAGGCTTGGGGTCTCAGAAGGCAGCGCTCTCAGGGCACCTCCACCATGGCCTGGGCTCTGCTCCTCCTCAGCCTCCTCTCTCAGGGCACAGGTGAGGCCCCAGGGAAGGGACACGGGGACACCTGGGCTGACTCTCTGCCTCCTCCTCAGGCCCCCCCGGTCCCAGCACTGAACTCACCAGAGTGTGTTTTTGCTCTTTTCAGGGTCCTGGGCCCAGGCTCCCCTCACTCAGCCTCCCGCAGTGTCTGGGACTCCAGGGACTTCAGTCACCATCTCCTGTGCTGGAAGCAGCAATGACATTGGGTATTATAATTATGTCTCCTGGTACCAACATCGCCCGGGCACAGCCCCTAAACTCCTGATTTATAGTGTCAGCACTCGGCCCTCGGGGATCCCTGAGCGCTTCTCTGGCTCCAAGTCTGGCAACACGGCTACCCTGACCATCGCTGGGCTGCAGGCTGAGGACGAGGCTGATTATTACTGTTGCTCCTATCGATATACAGACAGTAGCACTCTCCACAGTGGTGCGGGTTCATGGGGAAGTGAGACCAAAACCCGTCCTGGGCTCCCAGGCACCCTCCTTGCTGTGAAGACGCTTCCCCACCCTTCATACACAAGGGCCCAGAGAATCATATTCTAATTGCCTCCCTCCTCCGTCACCATAACATGCACTCTCTCTCTCTCTCACTCTCTCTCTCTCTTATTGTTTTGGGACAATGACAGTTTCCTCTTTATTTGTGTGTCATAAGGTCTGTAATATGCAACTCTTTCCAACCCCTCCCCACACCCCTCAACTGCAGTGATAGAGAGAAGAGGCAATGCATGCTGGGGCAGATATACAGTTCTCAGGCGAATCTTCACTTTAAATGCTCTGGTCTCACCCAGCGACCGGTGTGGCTCAGTTGTTGAGCATCGGCCCATGAATCAGGAGGTCACAGGTGGATTCCTGTTCAAGGCACCTGCCTGGGTTTCAGGCTTGATCCCCAGTAGGGGGCATGCAGGAGGCAGGATTCTCTCTTATCATTGATGTTTCTGTCTCTCTCCCTCTCCCTTCCTCTCTGAAATCAACAAAAATCTATTAAATGCTTTGGTCTCTACACCAGAGCAGAACATCTTGGATTTACAGAAAGGACATTGTCGTATTCATTTCCGTGTCCCCCATGCTCTCCTGTCAGGATGACCCTCTTCGGTGGGCTGTTCCTCTCCACGCCTGTTGCTGAAAGAAGAGCAACTGGGAAACGGTGACTGTGTTGCTAAGGGACTGAGGACAAAGCGTTAGATGCTCTTTTCTTTTCGGGCTTCCTCTATTACACACCGTAGGTACATAAGCGGAGCAGGGAAGGTTTTGATAGGGGGCCATCTGGAATTGTAAGAAATATGAATCCTGCTCTGTTCACTGTGAATGTTTTATTCTGGTTAAAGGAGGCACATTCTCACCTGGCTGGGAGTTATGGTTCCTGGGAGCTCACCCGGGATTGCGGCCCGTCCTCCCCACAGGGAGCTGCCTGTGATCATGGGAAGATGATCAACCTTCTTGCAGAACCCAGAGCCGCCAGCCCTTTGAAGATCCCCAGCCTTTGCACACCCACAGGCCTTTGTGAATCTCCAGCCCCATTACCTGTAAACTGCCCATTTGGCACACCTTTCATCCCTCTAATCCTTGTCCTTCTCCCCAATAAGCAGCGGGCTTATGGGGGGCAGAGCAGATTTCTGTGGGTGACCCGCTGCTCTCCCAGACTGCCCACAGGATGGGAATAAACGCTCACATGATTCCACCCTGTTCTGCCGAATTGGCTCAAGTAGTGACTGGCAGCGCGGACCCATGGCTTGTCGGGTTACATTTTGGGTTGCAGCTCTGTTTTATGTAGACTTTCCACTCCCTTAGATGAGTGAAATCCTCATCTGGAGGCAGTTCTGCAGGATGCCAGTCTCCCCCTCCACCTGGGCTCTTTCCAAAGTGGCTCCTTTTTTCCCACAAGAAAAGAGCTACCTGGTCTGTGTGTCCCCCTCTTTACAAGAATCCTCAACGTATCTGTTCTCTGTGACAAGCCAGTGCAATGTCCCCCCGGCACACACATGTGCCTGGTGTGCGTCGACAAGGCCAAGAATGGCTTGGCATCCCAATGCACGTGGGCTTCAGCACCGGAAACACTGTACTGGACCAACTCCTCCCACTTTGCCAGGATTTTCCTGGTTTAGCACTAAAAGTGCCATATCTCAGCCAGAGCCTCATTCTCAGGCACATTAGCATAGATGTTCACTGTGAAGATTAGTTTCATGGTTATCTTGGGGGGGCGGCGGGGGGCCAGATTAAACATGATTTCGGGATGTGTCTGTGAGGGTGTGTCCTGGGGGAGATTGGCATTAGAACCGGCCACTCAGGAGACAGATTGCCCTCCCGATGAGATTGGGCTCACACAACCCACTGAGGGTCTGAGTAGAACAACAGGTAAAGGAGGAAGGAATCCACCTAGGCTTTGGTCTCAGGGGTTGAATGGTGACAGCTCATCTCCCCTTCGCCTGCCCTGGGACTGAAACTTACCTGATCAGCGCCCCTGGCTCTCAGGCCTTTGTGCTGACACTGAATGGCAGCACCAGCTTGACTGGCTCTCAAGCTTGCAGAAGGCAAGCAGCGCAGGGGACTTCCCTGCCTCTAGAATCCATAATCGTGTGAGAGAGGCAATGCCCCAAAGGCTCATTCCTCCCAACATACATCCAGGGCGGGCAAAAGCACGTTTACAGTTGTTCATGTGGAAAAGAATGCAATAATCCTATATAATGAAAGCGTAGTATCCAAACTGCCCCCTGAACCAGGAGGTGGTCCTGGAGTTCGACCAGGGGGCGGGGCCTGCCAGGGGAAGGTGGGCAGTACCTGGCCTGCAGCTGCTGGGGCCTCTAGTGAATGAATAATAACACAAGAATAAACTCCATGTTCCACACACTCACAGCTGTGACCCTGCTTTCTCCCCGCCCCGTGGATTTTCTGAGTCAGGAACAACGGAGCCCGTGACAGAGCCGAGGGAATCCAGCCCGCCGTGGGGTGGCCCTACCTTCCTATTGGGGAGGTCACAGTGCGGATGACAAGGGATTTTAGGGCGTCCACCCATGGCCGCGTGGGACACGGGCGAGGACAACGTCCAGGCCGGCTGGGATGAGGGGATCCCGTTACTGCTCTTCTCGGGGACCACGGGCAGAGCTGCAGGTTTGTCATTCTCCCTCAACCCCTTCTTTTTTTTTTTTAAATAAGTTTTTATTGATCTCAGAGAGGAAGGTGGAGGGAGAGAGATAGAAACATCAATGATGAGAGAGAAACATTGACTGGCTGCCTCTTGTGTCCCAAAACAGCAGTGCCCAATAAATCAAGGTCACCTGAGAGGCAGATGAGAACTGTGGCCTCCCGGTTCATTTCTCAACACTCAACTACTGAGCCATACTGGCCGGACTAAATGCAGATTTTTAAATAATCTTATATCTATTACATACACACACAAGGTGGGTACAAATGTAGGTTTACAGTTGTTTGCAGGAAAAACAATACAATTAAGAAGTAATAATACAAGAATAAATTTTGTGTTTCCCATACTCACAACTATAAACCTAAGTTGCCCCACCCTGTATATGTCAGAGTTTAATGCCTCAGCTAAGTTCTGCCCAGGATACAGAAGCATCTAGAGTCCAGCACCAGGTCAGGGTGGTGTGAGAAGAGGCAGGTGCAGGAAGTGGATTTGCATGGAGGCCCCTCCCTCCTCTGGGCAGGGGGAGGGGATAAGAGAGGTCTGGGGGAGCCAGGCTCAGGCTTGGGGTCTCAGAAGGCAGCGCTCTCAGGGCACCTCCACCATGGCCTGGGCTCTGCTCCTCCTCAGCCTCCTCTCTCAGGGCACAGGTGAGGCCCCAGGGAAGGGACACAGGGACACCTGGGCTGACTCTCTGCCTCCTCCTCAGGCCCCCCGGCCCAGCACTGAGCTCACCAGAGTGTGTTTTTGCTCTTTTCAGGGTCCTGGGCCCAGGCTCCCCTCACTCAGCCTCCCTCAGTGTCTGGGACTCCTGGGTCTTCAGTCACCATCTCCTGTGCTGGAAGTAGCAATGACATTGGGTATTATAATGATGTCTCCTGGTACCAACATCGCCCGGGCACGGCCCCTAAACTCCTGATTTATGGTGTCAGCTATCGGCCCTCGGGGATCCCTGAGCGCTTCTCTGGCTCCAAGTCTGGCAACACGGCCACCCTGACCATCGCTGGGCTGCAGGCCGAGGACGAGGCCGATTATTACTGTTGCTCATATACAACCAGTAGCACTCTCCACAGTGGTGCAGGTTCATGGGGAAGTGAGACCAAAACCCGCCCCAGGCTCCCAGGTGCCCTCCTTGCTCTGAAGATGCTCCCCTCCCTGGGCAGTGCGATAGGCGGCCTGGCCTGGAGGATTCGTCCTCTACCCCTTCCTCCCGCCTCTCCCAGAGCCTGGAGAGCCAGCGTGTTTTTTCAACTCTTCTCCCCTCCCCCACGAAATCCGCAGGATCCTGCTCTCGGGTTTACTGCCTTTGTTGTGTTTTGTGCATCCAGAGGCCCCTCATTCAAAAGCACTCATTGGAACAGCCATGGGGAGGCTTTGCTAGGCATGCTGGGTAGATGTCCCACAATCCTCTGGGAAATCCTCACTTCAAATCCCTGGGCCTCCCTCACCTGCACAGACCAACCTGCATCCAGTTCTCCACTAATGAAGTGGGACAGACAATAAAGATAAATCTTTAATTTCCCTCATTTCTTCCCTTTCTCCTTCCATTCCTTCCTTCCTTTGTTCCTTTCTCCCTTCCTTTTTCCTTCTCACCCCCTTCCTTCCTTTCTTCTTTCCTTCCTTCCCTCCTTCCTTCTTTTCTTCCTTTTTGGGCTCCCAATACTTTCCACGACCAAGGAATGTGTGAGGTGAGGATCTGAGGGAAAGGCTGTGTCCTCTCGGAACTGCCCTCCGCCCAGGTTGCTGAATGGTTCTCCTGGGGCAGCCTGAACGTGCAAGGCCATCCCATTGGATGGATCCTTCCTGTTGGCTGCTTGGTTCTTCAACATGTCTGTTGGGGTAGCCCCCATTCATCAGGGATCCCCAAAGTTTTTCATGATGATGCACCTCCTTTCCAGCTACAATCCCAGTTAAAATGAATCAACAAGCCGAACCGGTTTGGCTCAGTGCATAGACCATCGGCCTGCGGACTCAAGGGTCCCAGGTTCGATTTCGCTCAAGGGCATGTACCTTGGTTGCAGGCACATCCCCAGTGGGGCGGGGGGCGTGCAGCTGATTGATCCTCTCATCAATGTTTCTAGCTCTCTGTCCCTCTCCCTTCTCCTCTGTGAAAAAAATCAATAAAATATATATTTTTTAAAAAATGAATCAACAAGTACAAATACATCTAAGTAAGAGGAAGTTAAGTCTCTGATATCATGTTCTCCGTCTAAGATATTGGTTGAAATGAGTTACTCCCCATGCAATCAGCATGGATCTGGGATTAAATATTAGTGTCTCTAAATTATATGCTGGACTTCAGTGGTCATTAGTCACAGTTGCAAGTGGTCACTTTGCCTCCTGTGCTGGCTGTCATGCTTAGCATTTCTATGATGCGTGTTCTCATGTGGACACACGTGTGCAGAATGACTGTAATGAGAACGGGGACCCCTGCAGCCCGGGCTCTGAGTCCTCCTGATCCTAACGGGACGAGGAACAGGACAAGGTGGGACCTAGTGAAGGTCAGAGGTCTGCTTCCCGCAGGAGGATGAGGACAACTGGCCTGTGCCCGGGGCTCCCCATGGTTTCCCAGGAGACAAGGATCCAGTCCGCTTGGTCCACAGGCCCAGCTGGTGGGCTTCTGAGCAGACCAGTGACTACTGCCATCTCACTGTCACCTCACACTGAGGCCAGGATTGTCTGAGCTCCTTCCCTGGGGCTTGGCTGGCATTATCTGAGGCCACCAGGGGGCAGTGTTGCCTGCATTTGGGAAGGTGCTCCCTGGGGTTCAGCCTTGACCTGCAGGAAGTCCCCTGGGTGCTCACCAGGCCCTTCTCCTGAGCGGGTGGGCGGTGGAGGGGGATGTCCTGTGTCCGTTCCGTCCCAATGTTTCCCCTCCTGGGAGAGGCAGCAAATGTCCCGGAGCCTCAGACGCTGGGGGGATTGGGACAAGGGATACGTGAGGACTCATTTCAACTGAGGAGCGTCAGGGAAGGTGGAGAAAGACTGGGAGATAC